GGGGGGGGGGAATTTGTTGTTGTTCTCTTTTGTTGTTCCCTCTCCGGACGGAGGGAGAAGCCAAGCTGGTACAACATTATCTGAAAATATAAGTAGGGCAAGGAAATGCGGTAGGTTATCTTTTGTTTTAGCTTGTGAATTTTCCTATGCTACAGAAGTACTTTTATTTTTGTTTTTGTAACTGTGAAGCTGAGCCAGAGGGGCATCCTCTGTGTTCTAAATCTTTTTATTACCCTGTAAAGTTACCTTCCACCCTGATTTTGCAGGTGCGATTCTTTTATTTTTTTTCTTTATAAAGTTCTTCTTTTAAGAACCTGATTGCTTTCAGTCCTGAAGACAAAGGGTCAGGTCTGTGCTCACATTGCTAAAGAAATTGGTTGGTTTATTATTCTCAAGCCTCCCCAGGAAAGGGTGTGAAGAGACTTGGGGGGATATTTTGGGGGATAGGGATTCCAAGTAACCCTTCGCTGAATTTTTATGTAAATCACATGGTGGCAGAAATACTGACCAAGAACAAGGAAAGGAACTTATGCTTTGGGGAAGTTTTAACCTAAGCTGGTAGAATATAAGCTTGGGGCAACTTTAATGTAGGTCCCCACATCTGTACCCCAGAGTTCAGAGTGTGTGTGGGCGGGGGTGGAATCCTGACATGGTGGCAGTGGTGGGATCATTTTAAACCAAAAGCACTCAGGATTTTAAAAGAACACATTTTTTCTTTTTGGCTGCTTAAAAACCAAGGAGAGTTTGGGTTTTTTTTTTTTAAGAAACAAATTTTCTTTTTCAGCCTCATTGGCAATAATAGGAGATGATGGCCATTTTCAATAAAGGAAAATTTGTGAGTGTTCGCCTTTCATCATGTTTTCAAGTACAGGGGTGGGAAAATGCAAACTCTAGTGATTTTAGCACAACTCTTCCATGTGGTCCAGTTACTAGAGAGGGACAGAGCCACGCTGGGTAAGGTGGGTTATGCTAGCACATCCCTTTCCTTAGAACAGGACTGTCAAGCTGTCTGGGGGGACTTAGGCGCGTAGGCACCCTCCACGCGACATGTCACTCACCGAAGTCGATTTGCATCCCAGATCTCACACCAAAGATGCTGGCAGCCAATCCTATAGTAAGCTATTTAGAGATTTATTAGTAAGGATATGTCTACACAGCAGTGTAAGCCCAGACTTGAGCCTGGGCTCAAGCCTAACCCCCTTGTGTCCACACACCAATTGTATTAATTTAGGGCTTTAACCTAGGGTCACAGGACCCTGCAAGGCTGGAGGGTCCAAGCCAGTGTTAAGCTGGACCTCGGGTCTGACTCCTATTGCTTTCCTGTGTGCATGTGGCCCTGGCTTGACTCGGTCCCAGAAGTCCTCCAAATATTTCCTGGGGCTTCATGTGCAGAGGTGCCCAGGCAGTGTGCTCTGTGAGGGTGGGGAGTGGGAGTCAGCCCCAAAACTTCCTCACAGACTCCCGGGGATCCCTTGTCCCTGTCTCACAAGGTGTGGTGGGGACATAGATAAGGGATCCCTGGGATTTGGTGGAGCACAGTGCACCCCAAGCCCTGGGGATAAACTTCACCGTTCTGCAGCCAGCCTGGGATGGGTGGGCGTTTTCCCTTTGAAAAACTTTTTTTTGTCAAACATAAAAACAAACCAACAAAAATAAATAAAAAACAAACAAACAAAAACAGCTTAATTCAATATTCTGTTTTAAAAATTAAGAATGGCAAAGTTTCATTTGACTAGTTTGACAGCCCTGGAGACTGATGTTCTCATTATCCTTAGAACAGAAGCACATCGGCATTTTCCTGTCAGTGTGACTCAGCCTAGAGGCAGAAAGATTAGATTAGATTAGATTAGATGGTAGTTCAATGTAAAGCTTTCACAAACAGCAGTCATTCTACTGAGATCGCCACCAAAGGAGCTAATTATACAGTTTATGTACTCATGAGTTCCTTATAGGCAGCTGATCCCATCAATAGCATCATCACAGTTAGGAAATAGGGTGGGCAGTAGAGTTTTCCCACAGTGCAACACATTTGTAGGGCTAGAGTGTCGACACTGGGGTGGGGGAGGGGGGAGATGTGCTTGGTACTCTGGGATCGGGTTACTTTGACTTGGATCTGTGCACTGTAGCGTGGACAACAGAGCCCTGGATTTGAGCACTGGTCAGAAAATTCTTAATTTAGGGTTAAAATGCAGTGTAGATGCTCAGTTCAGGGTTTTCTGACACAGGTCTGTTGACTCAAGTCCCACTAGCCCTAGGCTTACATTGCGGTGTAGACATACCCCAAGAAAAATAAATGAGTTATTCAGGGGTTAAAGTGGGTAAAAATATGTGTACAAGTGAGTTATGGTCTATAATTTCAAAAGGTAGCAGATATGGAGGTCATCAGATCACAGAACAGGGAACCAAATTGATCATGTTACAATTAAACGCAAATGGAGAAGAACATATTCATAAATGATCTGGAGAAAGGGGTAAACAGTGAGGTGGCAAAATTTGCAGATGATACAAAACTGCTGAAGATAGTTAAGTCCAAAGGAG